TATATAATGAAACACCCAGCTCAATAGAGGCAATTATGATAATGACAGCAGGTAAGCAAAGCAAAAACAAAATCAAATATTTCTTCTACAGAAAAAAGCACTTGTACCCACTCACTTAATTTTACTAAATCACTGATTTGTATTATCAGTCATCACCAGACTTGCAAAAAACTTTCTAGATATTATGCCACAAAAAAACAAAGTATCTGAAATTGCACAATATAAGCACCAGCCACTGGAGCGGTATGATGGGGTCTCGTAACTTGAATGTTCGGTCTGTAAGAGCATGCCTGACTTGACTTAACGGCTTTGAGACATCACCTTTGCAGCAGCTCCTCCTATTCTTTTTTAACATTAACTTAAACTATCATTACCATGCTATGATGATGAGGTGGCTGGTTTCGGGCGCATGAAAAGTAGCAGTCCTTCTTTCATTCTATTTCCTTGTTTTCACATGCTGCACAAAATGTTTTTTCTTCCACGCTCCTTCTGTCATTATAAAAAATAATAGGTATCATAATTGCTTCATTTCTTTATATTCCAAGTATTGCTGCTGCAATTCATCACATCTCCCGTTAGTAAACCATTGCCCTATGGCCGCTAAAGTAAATAAGTGGAATGCGCCAGAAATTGTCAAAATCGCGCCAAAATAGCAAACTAAGATGAGAAAAAATAACCGCACCCCTATCAACCCAACAGCTTAGGATCACGAGGCGGCGCTGTTTTCTGCTTGATATATTCAGGCAAATACATTGATATTTTTCTATTCAAATTAAAACAAGCCTTTTTAATATTTTCAAAAGATGATTTTGCTTTACCCAGAGCAAATATGTATTTCAAGCTAGCAATTTTCTACCACGACAATATTTCTGCTAGATTTAGTAAAAGTAAGGTTCTTGAAAAGCTGTAAACAATCATGTTTGTCGACAATTGCAAGACACCTAAAGACAATTGCGAAGAGGTTCACTGGCACTGAACTCTATAATGTTCACTGGTGACCGCCCAGATGAGAGATGTCAAGACGTTTCCGGAGAGGAGAGACATAAGCGTCAAGATCTAGAAGTTGCTATTTGGTTATTGCCTTTCTTTAATTTAATTGTCTTTGAGAGAGGACGATTAACTGGAAGGTGGTGAATATCCCACCAACTCATTCCCGGGCAATGCACGTGGCATTGCCGCTACCTGACCGCTTGGAACAGCGTGAGAGTTCCGGTTAGCACCTTGGTCCACTGGATGTGGTGCTTAGCCCAAACCAACCAACCATCCACCAACTCAGCTGAACTGGTTCTCGCTGTTGAGTTCATTCAAGGCCATTTCATTTGTACTTATAGTTGCATTCGGAGGTCGGTAAGTAGGCGTATGGATTGGACGTGATGGAGGGGCCAAGGGCCTTAAAACGGACAAGAGTGGATGAAATGAGTTTCTGGGGAGATGCAGATGGAGGAACCCAGGGGGTTTATCTGCAGCTCAAACTTACATCTGGGAAAAGTGTGAAGGAAAGAGGGTGGCCATGGGTTCAAACCTGCGTCCGAGGCATTCTTGGCGGACAGGAAAAAGTGGCCAAAGCTAACTTCATGGCAGACGGGTCTTTGCTAGTCAAGACCAAAAACGAGGCTCAGACAGACAAACTCTTAAAGGCCCAACTTTTTGGTGGTGAGGAGTGTGTCGTACACAGGGACGCGAGACTGAATCAGAGCAAGGGCATCATACATGCGCCTGACCTGATTGACTTGTCAGAGTTGGAGATCTGCGGTTGGTTGGAGGAGTTTGGTGTGGTTGGCGTAAAATGATTCACGAGGAAGGTAGGGGAGGAAGTTCAGCGCACGCCCACTCTTCTTCTTACCTTCAACACCCCAACATGTCCCTCACAGCTCCAATTTGACTATGTCAGGTACCCAGTCAAGAAGTACATACCAAACCCACTTCTTTGCCACAACTGTGGGAAATACGGACATGCACAGGAAAGGTGTAAGGCTGAGAGTATATGTCTGAACTGTGCCTCTAAGAAACATGAAGGGACTTGCTCTCCAAAATGCATCAACTGTGGTGAGGCTGGACATGGCTGCCTCTCCAAAACCTGCAGTGTTTGGAAAACTGAGAGGGACATATGTGAAATTAAAGTGGACAGAGATGTCTCCTATGTAGCTGTACAGCAATGTAGAGTTGCTTCAGCTTTGGCGTAAACTTTCTCCTCTTCCGCTCACCATTCACCACCAGAGTCAGCAGCGTCTCGGCTGGCAGTCCAGTCAGTCAGGGCGAGTGTCTTCACTCGCCACAGCGGGCCGGACCCATTACAGGGCAGCAGAGTTATCAGTTACCAAGCCTTGGCCTATAAAGAAAACCAGGAAATAGTAGCAATTGCATATATGTAATGATTCTACTCTATTACGATTGAGCTAGCGAAGCGTATTCCTGTAACGTTTTTAATAGGCTTGTAAGTCAGCAACCGCTGGGCTGATTGACCTGCGTTACTCTTTGTTGCGCATAATCCTATCCCTTCCATCTCGTTATTGACTACAACTGATGTATCTTGGTGAGTTATTGACTACAACTGATGTATCATGGTGAGCGTCGTGACACGTGCGACGTGAAGGGCCAAGAGTGTTCGTTATTCTGCTGCAGTAGCGATTTTGGGTTGCTCATATATCTTGAACCCTGAACTGCCACGCCGATTGCGCTCAAATGTGGTACACTGTTTTGAACTGGTTGGTAGGGATGTGTTTTTTTTTTATTGCGCGCATGTGTTTTTTATAGCGCGGAGAAAAAAATAGGATTGTTAGGGTTAACCAGGGAGTCACCGATGTTAGATCCCTCTCTGGGTCCTTTCATAGGAGGTCACGGTCCTGACCCGAGATAGCTGAGCTGTGTCGCAGCCCTGACCTCAGACAGCTGAGCTGTGCACGCCGTCGGCTCGGCCGTCAGTCGCCACAGCCGCTGACGCCAGTGTCCAAACAGCTCCAAACAATATCCGGCCCTGTATAGCAGGATAAGCCATCAGAGGCGGGAGTGATCACCGGAACGGGCTGCATGGTACAGGACGGGCTGGGAACACGTCAACTCCAGCATGACGTGTTCCCAGTGTACCTGCATGTAGTTTCTTTATTCCTCAGCAGTTGTCATCCCCTTGGCGTTAGTGTTTCGCGTCCCTCCATTGATCACTCCCGCCTCTGATGGCTTATCCTGCTATACATGGCCGGATATTGTTTGGAGCTGTTTGGACACTGGCGTCAGCGGCTGTGGCGACTGACGGCCGAGCCGACGGCGTGCACAGCTCAGCTGTCTGAGCCCTGAGGTCAGGGCTGTGACACAGCTCAGCTATCTCGGGTCAGGACTGTGACCTATGAAAGGACCCACAGAGGGGTCTAACATCGGTGACTCCCTGCTTAACCCTAACAATCCCCACTTTTTTGTCCGCGATATAAAAAACACATGCGGTTAGGCTACCTGTGTCGAATTAATGAAAGTTTATTATGTCAAAGTTTCAAAACATCAATCTGGTCTGCATGTCTGACTGCTCGCAGAACGGTTCTAGAGGCAGTGTCAGCGCGTGCGGAACGGTCCTCAGATGTGTCCACTTTCAAGCGCGGAACGGTCCTACTGCGCCACCAGACTCCTCTCCCTCTCCCCTCCCCCCTGTCCGCTGGTCTATGTCAGACACCAGTACACCACTGACCTCCCCTACCCTCCCCTGACCTTCTCAGGTGCCAGCTGAGACGCTGGTCGGCCTACAGAACCTGCTCGTTCACCTGCGGGACGTCTCGGCAGAGAACGCGCACCTCTACCAGTACCGACTGTGGGACGCTAAGAGGGTCAAGGTGGAGACCGCCCAGAACAGGGTATGTAACACAGACCGTAACACAAGCCGTAACGCAGGTCGTTACACAGGACGTAAAATAGATTGAACACAGACCGTAACATAGATCGAACACAGACCGTAACACTGGCTGCGTACGTGCGGGCACTCGGCCGGCCGGAACTAGGCTGGATCCCTTGGGCAATGAACAGGTGCTTTCTGTGACAGCGTCACCGCTGCAGGTCAGTCAGTTACACACAGACACTGCACCCGGCGCCCTTGTGCATGGTACAGGGCTCGCGGGTCTTAGCGGTAGGTTTTGCACCTAGAAAATTTAGTGTACTTCAGGCTATATCTTCGTCGTCTTAAGCTTTTAAGTGTTGAAGATGCGATCGACTTGTTGGGTAACAAGTCGGCCATGATCGTGTAAAATGGCTTCATCGTAGATCGATTAGTTTCTGAGATATATCCGGAAATGTAAAAGTGCCAAACCTACCGCTTAATCTCGCGAGACCTGTACCTGAGCCCTGAGCGCGCCCATGTGTCGCCCCCAGGGCGTGTCGCCGGACGGTTCTGTGTGTCGTACTGAAACCTGAACCTGCCTGAGTGTTATGCTATGACTCCCCAGGGCGTGTCGCCGGATGGGGCGGCCGGCTACCGGGACGGGCTGCGGCGGGCCACCAATGGCCACCCGCTCTCCGCCGAGGAGGTACAGAAGGTCGTCAGCCGGGAGCTCTCCAGCTAGCGGCGCAGAGGTCAGTCACCGCACCGGGCGTATTGCACGGGGACCCTAACAGACGCCTCACTCCTTTCCCTCATCTCAGTTGTTCTTTCATTTTTGTATTATTATAAATAATGGAGATAGACCAGAGCATTTTCGGTGCATTTATTAGGGTCATGTTACTCCAACGGGGTTGCATTGTCGGCACAGTCCTGTCTGGTCTGTGTGCTGCGGCGATGCTCTGCCATCCGGTGACCCAACGCCACTGTCCGCTGACCGAGTGTCGGCTCTTTGCTGACCGTGTAACGTCTGTCCGTCAGGGTGGTGGCCGTGAACGCCTGTCGGACGGCGCCGGAGGGCAGCGCCGGCCGGCTGCTGTCACTGCTGGACCAGCTGCGGCTGCCGGACGCCGGAGCGCTGCCCGACTGGGGTCTACATCCTGGTAAACGAAGTCAAGTCAGATAATAGCGTAGTTTATAGGGTACCATGCGGGATGTGCGAGAAAGCATATATAGGAGAGACAGGGAGAGGGATAAATACTAGACTGAAAGAGCACAAAAGAGATCTTTGCAACTACCGAGAGTATAGCGCCTTTGTGGCCCATGCAGACGAAACGGGACATCTGCCAAACTGGGAGAGAGCAAAAGCAATAGCTTCCTGCAGTTCAAAATGTATTAGAAAAGCAGCCGAAGCGGCATTTATAAGCACTAGCGAAACGATTAACACGAAGGGTGGGTTCATAAAATGGGCATAATCGGCAGCAACTTTTAGCATCAAAGATTTTACAGAAAGCTGAAAATGAGAGAGAGAGAGAGAGAGAGAGAGAGAGAGAGAGAGGGGGAGAGAGAGAGAGAGAGAGAGAGAGAGAGAGAGGGAGAGAGAGAGAGAGACACAGAGAGAGAGAGAGAGAGAGAGAGAGAGAGAGAGAGAGAGAGAGAGAGAGAGAGAGAGAGAGAGAGAGAGAGAGAGAGAGAGAGAAAGAGAGAGAGAGAGAGAGAGAGAGAGAGAGAGAGAGAGAGAGAGAGAGAGAGAGAGAGAGTGAGAGAGAGAGAGAAATGAAATAGATTTCTATACACCGTCAAACATGTTAAACTTTTAGGCATTTACTGATGTATCGAACGTTGATGTTTGGTGTAGGAGCATAATCACCGAAATATGATGATAGATTGTGAGTGTTTTTAGGTAGTAGGTGCCCTCCTCAGCAATGCTTATTATTTTCTAACTGAATCCGATTTTATTTCAAACGATTGTCACTGTGCTAGTTTTCTTGTTATACGTTTTTGAAAAAGCGCTGAAGAAGTCTTTCATAGACGAAACCGGTCCGCGTATTTATATGTAATTGTTACTTGAATATATTCGTATGCTACTTGCTCTTTACCACATCCTGGTATGTTACTGGGAGCGGCACGGTGTGTGTTGGGTGCTTCTGACGGTCAGTTGTATTAACTGTTAGTTCCTCTACTGGCCACCAGGTGAAAAGCGTATTAGCTGTACAGCAATGTAGTTGCTTCAGCTTTGGCGTAAACTTTCTCCTCTTCCGCTCACCATTCACCACCAGAGTCAGCAGCGTCTCGGCTGGCGGTCCAGTCAGTCAGGGCGAGTGTCTTCACTCGCCACAGCGGGCCGGACCCATTACAGGGCAGCAGAGTTATCAGTTACCAAGCTTTGGCCTATAAAGAAAACCAGGAAATAGTAGCAATTGCATATATGTAATGATTCTACTCTATTACGATTGAGCTAGCGAAGCGTATTCCTGTAACGTTTTTAATAGGCTTGTAAGTCAGCAACCGCTGGGCTGATTGACCTGCGTTACTCTTTGTTGCGCGTAATCCTATCCCTTCCATCTCGTTATTGACTACAACTGATGTATCTTGGTGAGTTATTGACTACAACTGATGTATCATGGTGAGCGTCGTGACACGTGCGACGTGAAGGGCCAAGAGTGTTCGTTATTCTGCTGCAGTAGCGATTTTGGGTTGCTCATATATCTTGAACCCTGAACTGCCACGCCGATTGCGCTCAAATTTGGTACACTGTTTGGGACTGGTTGATAGGGATGTGTTTTTTTTATAACTCGCATGTGTTTTTTTATAGTGCGGAGAAAAAAGTAGGAATTGTTAGGGTTAAGCAGGGAGTCACCGATGTTAGATCCCTCTCTGGGTCTTTTCATAGGGGGTCACGGTCCTGACCCGAGATAGCTGAGCTGTGTCGCAGCCCTGACCTCAGACAGCTGAGCTGTGCACGCCGTCGGCTCGGCCGTCAGTCGCCACAGCCGCTGACGCCAGTGTCCAAACAGCTCCCAACAATATCCGGCCCTGTATAGCAGGATGAGCCATCAGAGGCGGGAGTGATCACCGGAACGGGCTGCATGGTACAGGACGGGCTGGGAACACGTCAACTCCAGCATGACGTGTTCCCAGTGTACCTGCATGTAGTTTCTTTATTCCTCAGCAGTTGTCATCCCCTTGGCGTTAGTGTTTCGCGTCCCTCCATTGATCACTCCCGCCTCTGATGTCTTATCCTGCTATACAGGGCCGGATATTGTTTGGAGCTGTTTGGACACTGGCGTCAGCGTCTGTGGCGACTGACGGCCGAGCCGACGGCGTGCACAGCTCAGCTGTCTGAGCCCTGAGGTCAGGGCTGCGACACAGCTCAGCTATCTCGGGTCAGGACCGTGACCTATGAAAGGACGCAGAGAGGGATCTAACATCGGTGACTCCCTGCTTAACCCTAACAATCCCGACTTTTTTGTCCGCGATATAAAAAACACATGCGGTTAGGCTACCTGTGTCGAATTAATTAAAGCTAGGCTAATGTCGAATTAATTGCTCCACTTCGGGGAGCACTGCTCTCGTCTCCGCCGCAAGGTGAAGCCGCGTGTGGCCCAGCTGAGGAAGCTGACGGCGCGCTCGTGGGGCCTGCAAGAGCCGCAGCTGCGAACCGTCGCCAACGGTTACGTCCGTGGTGCACTCGAGTACGCGGCGGCGGCATGGCTCCCGGCGGCGTCGGAGTCGCACGTGGAGCTGCTTGAGAGGGAGATGCGTGCCACAGCGCGCGTCGTGACCGGCTGCCCGATCAGCACGCCGAGAGACCCGCTGATGGCGGAGGCCGGCATCGTCCCGGTCCGGGCGCGCAGGGAGGCGTTGGCCGTCAGGCTGACCGCCACTGCGGCGTCGCAGAGGACCGATGACCCTCTCCGTGAGGTAGCAGCGAGGACAGCCCCCCGACGACTGCGGACCACCACCGGCTGGCGTGATGTGGGACGGGAGGCCCTCACCCGGCTTGGTCTTCAGGAGACACCCGTGGAGGAGCGACTACACATCACCCTCCCTCCATGGTCGGACTGTTCGGGGGTGGCGATCCGGCTGGACGTCGGCGCGGCTATTAGCAGGGAGGCACGCGACGAGGTCCGCCGGGCGGCGGCCGAAGAACACCTCGCGACCCTGCCAGACCAGGCGACCTGGATCTGGAGCGACGGCTCGGCAGAGGGCGGTGTCGCGTCCGGGGGCAGTGGTGCCCTGATCACCCTGCCCTCTGGAGAAGAGAGGAAGACCCGGACGCCGGCCGGCGCCGTCTGCAGTAGCACCCGCGCCGAGCTGGTGGCGATGCGTGCCGCTCTGGAGGAGGTGCAGCAGCTGGAGGACGCAACGTCTGCGACCCCGCTGGTGCTCTGCACCGACTCCCAGGCTGCGCTCGCCACGCTCGCGACGGGCGCCGGAGAACAGCGGACGACGCTGGGAGCCGAGACATGGCGCCTGCTCCTGGCGGCCCCGGACAGACCGACATGGCTGCAGTGGGTCCCGGCCCACTGTGGCCTCCCAGGCAACGAACGGGCGGACGAGCTGGCCAAGGAGGCCTCCAGCTTACCACAGGCAGCCGCGCCTGTGGACGTCCGCAGCCTCACTAAGGCAGTCGGCCGCGCCGCCTCCAAGGCCTGGCGAGATCGCTGGCCCGACAGCTTCTTCAGGCGGATTATGAGAGACAGGTTCCCGACACCTGTCCTCAACGAGACGAGGGAAGACGCGGTGAATGTGCACCAGCTTCGAGCGGGCCACTGGGGGCTCTCGACGAGCTACCTGCACAGGATCGGCCGTCGCCCAACACCGACCTGCCAGCAGTGCGAGGACCTGAAGTGCCCGGCGGCACTGTGTCTGGTCTGCCGAGAGGAGGCCGACACGCCGGAGCACGTGCTGCTGCACTGCCCCTGCCTGGCGGGCAAGCGACTACGCCTGTTCGGGACCATACACCCTGATGCGACTCGGCTGCGGGACGGCGGGGCCGTGGCGGCGCTGGCCCGCGGCTTCCTCCGCTACCGAGAGCCTGCGGGCTACGGCCGGCCGTAGGCCGGCCCGCGGGGAAACAACAACAACAACAACAATTAATTAAAGCTTATTATGTCAAAGTTTCAAAACATCAATCCGGTCTGCATGTCTGACTGCTCGCAGAACGGTTCTAGAGGCAGTGTCAGCGCGCGCGGAACGGTCCTCAGATGTGTCCACTTTCAAGCGCGGAACGGTCCTACTGCGCCACCAGACTCCTCTCCCTCTCCCCTCCCCCCTGTCCGCTGGTCTATGTCAGACACCAGTACACCACTGACCTCCCCTACCCTCCCCTGACCTTCTCAGGTGCCAGCTGAGACGCTGGTCGGCCTACAGAACCTGCTCGTTCACCTGCGGGACGTCTCGGCAGAAAACGCGCACGTCTACCAGTACCGACTCTGGGACGCTAAGAGGGTCACGGTGGAGACCGCCCAGAACAGGGTATGTAACATAGACCGTAACACAAGCCGTAACGCAGGTCGTTACACAGGGCGTGAAATAGATTGAACACAGACCGTAGCATAGATCGAACACAGACCGTAACACTGGCTGCGTACGTGCGGGCACTCGGCCGGCCGGAACTGGGCTGGATCCATTGGGCAATGAACAGGTGCTTTCTGTGACAGCGTCACCGCTGCAGGTCAGTCAGGGACACACAGACACTGCACCCGGCGCCCTTGTGCATGGTACAGGGCTCGCGGGTCTTAGCGGTAGGTTTTGCACCTAGAAAATTTAGTGTACTTCAGGCTATATCTTCGTCGTCTTAAGCTTTTAAGTGTTGAAGATGCGATCGACTTGTTGGGTAACAAGTCGGCCATGATCGTGTAAAATGGCTTCATCGTAGATCGATTAGTTTCTGAGATATATCCGGAAATGTAAAAGTGCCAAACCTACCGCTTAATCTCGCGAGACCTGTACCTGAGCCCTGAGCGCGCCCATGTGTCGCCCCCAGGGCGTGTCGCCGGACGGTTCTGTGTGTCGTACTGAAACCTGAACCTGCCTGAGTGTTATGCTATGACTCCCCAGGGCGTGTCGCCGGATGGGGCGGCCGGCTACCGGGACGGGCTGCGGCGGGCCACCAATGGCCACCCGCTCTCCGCCGAGGAGGTACAGAAGGTCGTCAGCCGGGAGCTCTCCAGCTAGCGGCGCAGAGGTCAGTCACCGCACCGGGCGTATTGCACGGGGACCCTAACAGACGCCTCACTCCTTTCCCTCATCTCAGTTGTTCTTTCATTTTTGTATTATTATAAATAATGGAGATAGACCAGAGCATTTTCGGTGCATTTATTAGGGTCATGTTACTCCAACGGGGTTGCATTGTCGGCACAGTCCTGTCTGGTCTGTGTGCTGCGGCGATGCTCTGCCATCCGGTGACCCAACGCCACTGTCCGCTGACCGAGTGTCGGCTCTTTGCTGACCGTGTAACGTCTGTCCGTCAGGGTGGTGGCCGTGAACGCCTGTCGGACGGCGCCGGAGGGCAGCGCCGGCCGGCTGCTGTCACTGCTGGACCAGCTGCGGCTGCCGGACGCCGGAGCGCTGCCCGACTGGGGTCTACATCCTGGTAAACGAAGTCAAGTCAGATAATAGCGTAGTTTATAGGGTACCATGCGGGATGTGCGAGAAAGCATATATAGGAGAGACAGGGAGAGGGATAAATACTAGACTGAAAGAGCACAAAAGAGATCTTTGCAACTACCGAGAGTATAGCGCCTTTGTGGCCCATGCAGACGAAACGGGACATCTGCCAAACTGGGAGAGAGCAAAAGCAATAGCTTCCTGCAGTTCAAAATGTATTAGAAAAGCAGCCGAAGCGGCATTTATAAGCACTAGCGAAACGATTAACACGAAGGGTGGGTTCATAAAATGGGCATAATCGGCAGCAACTTTTAGCATCAAAGATTTTACAGAAAGCTGAAAATGAGAGAGAGAGAGAGAGAGAGAGAGAGAGGGGGAGAGAGGGAGAGAGAGAGAGAGAGAGAGAGAGAGAGAGAGAGAGGGAGAGAGAGAGAGAGACACAGAGAGAGAGAGAGAGAGAGAGAGAGAGAGAGAGAGAGAGAGAGAGAGAGAGAGAGAGAGAGAGAGAGAGAGAGAGAGAGAGAGTGAGAGAGAGAGAGAAATGAAATAGATTTCTATACACCGTCAAACATGTTAAACTTTTAGGCATTTACTGATGTATCGAACGTTGATGTTTGGTGTAGGAGCATAATCACCGAAATATGATGATAGATTGTGAGTGTTTTTAGGTAGTAGGTGCCCTCCTCAGCAATGCTTATTATTTTCTAACTGAATCCGATTTTATTTCAAACGATTGTCACTGTGCTAGTTTTCTTGTTATACGTTTTTGAAAAAGCGCTGAAGAAGTCTTTCATAGACGAAACCGGTCCGCGTATTTATATGTAATTGTTACTTGAATATATTCGTATGCTACTTGCTCTTTACCACATCCTGGTATGTTACTGGGAGCGGCACGGTGTGTGTTGGGTGCTTCTGACGGTCAGTTGTATTAACTGTTAGTTCCTCTACTGGCCACCAGGTGAAAAGCGTATTAGCTGTACAGCAATGTAGTTGCTTCAGCTTTGGCGTAAACTTTCTCCTCTTCCGCTCACCATTCACCACCAGAGTCAGCAGCGTCTCGGCTGGCGGTCCAGTCAGTCAGGGCGAGTGTCTTCACTCGCCACAGCGGGCCGGACCCATTACAGGGCAGCAGAGTTATCAGTTACCAAGCTTTGGCCTATAAAGAAAACCAGGAAATAGTAGCAATTGCATATATGTAATGATTCTACTCTATTACGATTGAGCTAGCGAAGCGTATTCCTGTAACGTTTTTAATAGGCTTGTAAGTCAGCAACCGCTGGGCTGATTGACCTGCGTTACTCTTTGTTGCGCGTAATCCTATCCCTTCCATCTCGTTATTGACTACAACTGATGTATCTTGGTGAGTTATTGACTACAACTGATGTATCATGGTGAGCGTCGTGACACGTGCGACGTGAAGGGCCAAGAGTGTTCGTTATTCTGCTGCAGTAGCGATTTTGGGTTGCTCATATATCTTGAACCCTGAACTGCCACGCCGATTGCGCTCAAATTTGGTACACTGTTTGGGACTGGTTGATAGGGATGTGTTTTTTTTTATAACTCGCATGTGTTTTTTTATAGTGCGGAGAAAAAAGTAGGAATTGTTAGGGTTAAGCAGGGAGTCACCGATGTTAGATCCCTCTCTGGGTCTTTTCATAGGGGGTCACGGTCCTGACCCGAGATAGCTGAGCTGTGTCGCAGCCCTGACCTCAGACAGCTGAGCTGTGCACGCCGTCGGCTCGGCCGTCAGTCGCCACAGCCGCTGACGCCAGTGTCCAAACAGCTCCCAACAATATCCGGCCCTGTATAGCAGGATGAGCCATCAGAGGCGGGAGTGATCACCGGAACGGGCTGCATGGTACAGGACGGGCTGGGAACACGTCAACTCCAGCATGACGTGTTCCCAGTGTACCTGCATGTAGTTTCTTTATTCCTCAGCAGTTGTCATCCCCTTGGCGTTAGTGTTTCGCGTCCCTCCATTGATCACTCCCGCCTCTGATGTCTTATCCTGCTATACAGGGCCGGATATTGTTTGGAGCTGTTTGGACACTGGCGTCAGCGTCTGTGGCGACTGACGGCCGAGCCGACGGCGTGCACAGCTCAGCTGTCTGAGCCCTGAGGTCAGGGCTGCGACACAGCTCAGCTATCTCGGGTCAGGACCGTGACCTATGAAAGGACGCAGAGAGGGATCTAACATCGGTGACTCCCTGCTTAACCCTAACAATCCCGACTTTTTTGTCCGCGATATAAAAAACACATGCGGTTAGGCTACCTGTGTCGAATTAATTAAAGCTAGGCTAATGTCGAATTAATTGCTCCACTTCGGGGAGCACTGCTCTCGTCTCCGCCGCAAGGTGAAGCCGCGTGTGGCCCAGCTGAGGAAGCTGACGGCGCGCTCGTGGGGCCTGCAAGAGCCGCAGCTGCGAACCGTCGCCAACGGTTACGTCCGTGGTGCACTCGAGTACGCGGCGGCGGCATGGCTCCCGGCGGCGTCGGAGTCGCACGTGGAGCTGCTTGAGAGGGAGATGCGTGCCACAGCGCGCGTCGTGACCGGCTGCCCGATCAGCACGCCGAGAGACCCGCTGATGGCGGAGGCCGGCATCGTCCCGGTCCGGGCGCGCAGGGAGGCGTTGGCCGTCAGGCTGACCGCCACTGCGGCGTCGCAGAGGACCGATGACCCTCTCCGTGAGGTAGCAGCGAGGACAGCCCCCCGACGACTGCGGACCACCACCGGCTGGCGTGATGTGGGACGGGAGGCCCTCACCCGGCTTGGTCTTCAGGAGACACCCGTGGAGGAGCGACTACACATCACCCTCCCTCCATGGTCGGACTGTTCGGGGGTGGCGATCCGGCTGGACGTCGGCGCGGCTATTAGCAGGGAGGCACGCGACGAGGTCCGCCGGGCGGCGGCCGAAGAACACCTCGCGACCCTGCCAGACCAGGCGACCTGGATCTGGAGCGACGGCTCGGCAGAGGGCGGTGTCGCGTCCGGGGGCAGTGGTGCCCTGATCACCCTGCCCTCTGGAGAAGAGAGGAAGACCCGGACGCCGGCCGGCGCCGTCTGCAGTAGCACCCGCGCCGAGCTGGTGGCGATGCGTGCCGCTCTGGAGGAGGTGCAGCAGCTGGAGGACGCAACGTCTGCGACCCCGCTGGTGCTCTGCACCGACTCCCAGGCTGCGCTCGCCACGCTCGCGACGGGCGCCGGAGAACAGCGGACGACGCTGGGAGCCGAGATATGGCGCCTGCTCCTGGCGGCCCCGGACAGACCGACATGGCTGCAGTGGGTCCCGGCCCACTGTGGCCTCCCAGGCAACGAACGGGCGGACGAGCTGGCCAAGGAGGCCTCCAGCTTACCACAGGCAGCCGCGCCTGTGGACGTCCGCAGCCTCACTAAGGCAGTCGGCCGCGCCGCCTCCAAGGCCTGGCGAGATCGCTGGCCCGACAGCTTC